AAACATATTCTAATTTTCGATCGCTAACTTTAAATTTTATTTTAAATTATACAAAACCAGATTTATGTCAAAATTTCTCAAATATAACCCATAAAAATTTGAAATTAACGAAGATAATTTTTACATAACCTGCCAGATATACAGATAACTAAGATGCGCAATAATCAACAAAAATTCTGTTAGAGCCAATCGTTTTAGGGCAATTAGGTATTGCTGAACACCGCATTCAGCTTGTTTCTCAAAAGACGCTCGATGAAAAAAAGCCAGCCGCTGTTTTAGCGGCATAATTTCTGTTGGCAGAATGCCAAAACCAGGAGAACTCCCGACTCACAGACTCAATTAATGGCACTGCGTTATTCAAAATTATTACAGAGTCTTAAGAACCCAAAAAAGTTTGAAGCTAATAAAGATAACTTTCAAATAACCTGCCAAATATACAGATATCGAAGATGAGCAATGATCAACAAGAATTTTATTAAAGCCAATCGTTTTTGGGGTAATTTGGAATCGCTGTTGTTAAGCCTCTTCCAAAAACATTCTGCTTATTTCTCAAAAAATTTTCTACGAAAAAGAGCTAGCAACAATTTTAGCGACATAATTTTTGTTGGCAGAATGCCAACACCCGGACAATTTTCCATTCACCGACTTAATTCATGCTACTACGTCATCCAAAATTATTATACTGTCCAAAGAGAATGAAGCAGTGAAAAACGAAAAATGAGATACACCCCCAAAAGACATGAATGTCGCTGAGCGGCCTCACGCACGTGTAGGCCCCACGCACGAGCGCCTCAAAGTTTTGGCGGGAAAACCGCTATCTTAGGAACCGGAAAAGCTAGAAGGCTGAAATTTTGGGATTATGTTCCCCGTCCATATAGAACTCAAAGATTTTAAATTCAGCCCCCATGAAACAGAAGAATCTTGAACAAATGTCAGTGATTCGAATTCTTCACTACGGCCAAAACACCAAAAACACGATAATTTACCTGTATTCCATGGTCTGTATCATAACTGATGAAATAACACCCTTGCAACCACTGCAAGAAATGAAGAATTGCTGCAGTTGCACAAGTGCATTATCCGGATGTCGCTCATACTCTTCGATCCATTTATCCAGCACCGTCTGCAAAAGCACCCATGATCATTTTACAAACTTCAATATATCATTATTATGAGTTTTTGTATATATGTAAATTGCAAAAACGCACATTGGGGAGAGGCTGTGTGTGTGTTCGCACTTTTTGTCACCCACTTTCAACTCGAGAACAAGAAAAGCTAGAAGGTTCAAATTTTGGGGGTATGTGGCCGTACCATGCGCCACCCTCCCGTTTTGATTTCATTCCCCGTGGACGCCTGGGCGCCGCGTACGGACGCTTTAAAAAAATATGCAAATTTTTTTGCGGGAAAGCGAGCTCGGGAACCACATGAGCCAAGGGGCTGAAACTTTGCAGGCATATCCCCTATGCATGTACTAGCTAAAGATTTCAAATTCAGCTTCCAAGTATACATGGTACTCATGCAAGGGCGTTCGAAAGTTTTAGGGGAAAAATTGCTAACTCGGGTAACAGGAAAGCTAGAAAGCTGAAATTCTGAAGGAATGCTCCCTGTCAAAGTAGAACTCAAACATTTCAAATTCAGCCCCCAGCTATACGCGATACTTACGCAAGAAAATTCATGCGGAAAAATTACTAACTCGGCAACTAGAAAAGCTGGAAGGCTGAAACTTTAGAGGGGTGTTCCTTGTCCAAGTACAACTTAAGTATTTCAAATTTAGCCTTGCGGTAAGTGTGGTTCTTACGTGCGGGCACTTAAAATTTTGGCTGAATTTCTAAGTGAGCAACTAGGTTACTTTTAAAGAACGATCGTTAGATGGAAATTGTACATCTACTTTATGTAAAATTTATGGTCATTTATGCTAGTAATCGCAAAGTGTAGGTGCAAAGCAACAACCATTCATGCAGTTAATGACCTGAGTACTTCAATTTCGGTGCAAAAACGCATGATCGCACTGGCTAGTCTGGTGCGCGTTGCTATTTATTTGTATTATTTTTTGCTTATTTGAATTTACTTCTTTCCTATATGGTTGGTATAGCGGGCTGTACTGACCATTCCTATTCCTACTTGCATTCGATGCTCTGTCTGTGTTTACAGCTAAGGGATGAAACATGGACTGTAAACTTACTTGATCCTTTTATATATGTAATTTTCAAAGCAACCTTACCAAATATCGCATATACTCAAAAGCTCTGACATATAAAATAACCGTTTATTAGAATAATAAATCAGCAAAAAAGTGCTTGTCTGAAGATGAAACTGCGGGAGATCGCCTAAAACTGCCAGAAAAAAAGTCATGAGACTGGAATCCCATGGATGGCTCGTCAGCTGGATCAGTTATTTTGGCTTATCAAAATTAATCTTCGAAACTTACATTTAAGTTCTTGCCGCTCTTGACCATACAAAACAGGCTACTCTCATCTGCGACTTCCTCCAAATTCACTGCTCCTCCCAAGCGGCGTCCACCACCTCGACCTCGTG